AATTCTTAAAGAGAAGGGAATACCAGACCACCTGACCTGCCTCCTGAGAAATCTGTATGCAGGTCAGGAAGCACCAGTTAGATCTGGACATGGAACAACGGACTGATTCCAAATTGTGAAAAGGGTATGCTCAAAGCTGTATTTTTGTCACCCTGTTTATTTAACTTTTTTATGCAGAGTACATCGTGCGAAATGCCAGGCTGGATGAAGTATAAGCTGGAATCAGGATTGCCGGGAGAAATATCAATAACTTCAGATATGCACATCAGTTCAGTTCAGTCGATCAGTTGTGTCTGAGTCTTTGCGACCCCATGGCCTGCAATATGCCAGGCTTCCCTATCCATCATGAGCTCCCGGAGGTTACTCAAATTCATGTCCATTGAGTTGGTGATGCCTTCCAATCATCTCATCCTCTGTTGTCCCCTTCTCTTCCCGCCTTCAGTCACTCCCAGCTTCAGCGTGTTTTCCAGTGAGTCAGTTCTATGCATCAGGTGGCCAAAGTATTAGAGTTTCAGATTCCGCATCAGTCCTTCCTATGACTATTCAGGACTGATTTCTTTTAGGATGGACTGGTTGTATCTCCTTGCTGTCCAAGGGACTCTCAAGAGTCTTTTTCAACACCACAGTTCAAAAGCATCAATTGTTCAGTACTCAGCCTTCTTTATGGTCCACTTCTCACATTAGTTTTACTTATTTCCATCAGTTTTGTTTGTTTTCAACCTCAGCATTATCCTTAACAGAATAACAAAAAATTTAAGTATTATGGGATCATGCAATTCCCAGGTGGCCCTAGTGGAAAAGAACCCACCTGCCAATGCAGGAGATACAAGAGACACAGGTTCCCATCACTTCATGGCAAATAGATGGGGAAACAATGGAAACAGTAAGAGACTTTATTTTGGGGGCTCCAAAATCACTGCAGCCATGAAATTAAAGATGCTTGCTCCTTGGAAGAAAAGCTATGACCCACATAGACAGCTTGTTAAATAGCAGAGACATTACTTTGCTGACAAAGGTGCGTCTAGTCAAAGCTATGGTTTTTGCAGTAGTCATGTATGGATGTGAGAGTTGGACCATAAAGAAAGGTGAGTGCCGAAGAATTGCTGCTTTTGAACTGTGGTGTTGGAGAAAACTCTTGAGAGTCTCTTGGACTGCAAGGAGATTAAACCAGTTAATCCTAAAGGAGATCAGTCCTGAGTATTCATTGGAAGGGCTGATGCTGAAGCTCCAATACTTCGGTCACCTGATGTGAAGAACTGACTCATTGGAAACGACCCTGATGCTGGGACCGATTGAGGACGGGAAGAGAAGGGGATGACAGAGGATGGGATGGTTGGATGGCATCACCAACTTGATGGACATGAGTTTGAGCAAGCTCTTGGAGTTGGTGATGGGCCAGGAAACTTGGCATGCTGCATTTCATGGAGTTGCAAAGTGTTGGACATGACTGAGAGACTGAACTGAACTGAAACTGCTTGCGCTATTTGTAAATTTTGGAGACTAATCCCTTGCCAGTCACATCATTTGCAGATGTCGTTCAGTCGCCCCGTCGTGTCCCACTCTTTGCGATGCTATGGACTGCAGCTCGACAGGTCTACCTGTCCCTTACCATCTCCTGGAGTTTGCCCAAGTTCATGTGCATTTCATCGGTGATGCCATCCAGCCCTCTCATCCTCTAATGCCCTCTTCTCCTTCTGCCGTTAGTCTTTCCCAGCATGAGGGACTTCACCAAAAATAGAAAGAAAGATGTGTGGATTGTTCTTTTGTTTATGGCTTCCTTTGCTGTGCAAAAACTTTTGAGTTTAAATAGGTCCTATTTGTTTATTTTTATTTCCATTACCCTGGGAGATGGGTTGAAAAAAAATATTGCTGTGATTTATGTCAGTTTTCTGCCATTGTTTTCCTCAAGTTTTACTTTCCGCACTCATATTTAAACCGTTAATCCATATTAAGCTTATTTTTGTGTATGGTATTAAATAATATTCTAACATCATTTTTTTACCCATGTAACTGTCCAGTTTTCCCAGCACCATTTTTTGAAGAGATTGTCTTCTCATTATTGTGTGGACCATAGGTGCGTGGGTTTATTTTTGAGCTTTCTTTCCTCTTCTGTTGATCTTTTTTTCTAGTTTTGTGCCATACTGTTTTGATGACTATAGCTTTATAGTATAGTCTGATGTTGGGGACCCTCATTTTTCTACCTCTGTGATAATGAAGTGTTTTTGTTATGAGTACGGGTTCCCATCACTTCATGTCAAATAGATGGGGAAACAATGGAAACAGTAAGAGACTATTTTGGGGGCTCCAAAATCACTGCAGATGGTGACTGCAGCCATGAAATTAAAGATGCTTGCTCCTTGGAAGAAAAGCTATGACCCACATAGACAGCTTGTTAAATAGCAGAGACATTACTTTGTCAACAAAGGTCCGTCTAGTCAAGGCTGTGGTTTTTCCAGTGGTCATGTATGGATGTGAGAGTTGGACTATAAAGAAAGCTGAGCACCGAAGAATTGATGCTTTTGAACTGTGCTGTTGGAGAAGACTCTTTGAGAGTCCCTTGGACTGCAAGGAGATCCATCCAGTCCATCCTAAAGGAAATCAGTCCTGAATATTCACTGGAAGGACTGATGCTGAAGCTGAAACTCCAATATTTTGGCCACCTGATGTGATGAGCTGACTCATTGGAAAAGACCCTGATGCTGGGAAAGATTGAGGGCAGGAGGAGAAGGGGACGACAGAGGATGAGATGGTTGGATGGCATCACCGACTCAATGGACATGGGTCTGGGTGGACTCCGGGAGTTGGTGATGGACAGGGAGGCCTGGCATGCTGCGGTTCATGGGGTCGTGAAGAGTTGGACATGACTGAGCGACTGAACTGAAATGAACTGAATGTTATGGTTTTGTTTCATAAGTGCAAATTTTTGTTCACTTAAAGTTAATTAATATGAATACCTTCTTTATGCAAAAATTGACTCTCTGGTGTGGTAGAGCCTTGACGGAATAAGCTATACAGTGCAGTGCTTTCTTGAGATTTCATCTGTATAACATAACTTTAAAAGAGTCAGGGGCTTCCCTTGTTTGATGATTTGAGAGTATAGGGATATAATTCATTACTCCCTACTTTCTTATATAAAACATACACACTCTTGTAGCAGTGTTGTGACATTACCTTGTTAGAAAGTTATGCCTTTGTATTTTTTTAAAAAATAGGATACTATAAGGGAGGTGGGAGCTGAGAGGGTTGGCTGGAACAAGGAGGAAATATTAGGGAATAAGGAGAGACAAAGTTGCTAAGTGTGAGGGAGAGAGCAGGGGAATTTGAGAGAACAATAATAAGTTAATTCCTTTTCAAATTGTTTTGGAATAAGATAGGATACAAATAAATATAAATGAATAAGCTGTGAAAGTGATGAAGTTAGTCTTATTTTCATAATACAGGTGAATTGAAAAACAAAATGTCCTGTTTTAAAGGAGTAATAATGACTTTTCTAAATTTTCATTTTTGGAAATTTAGATATCTTTAAAGCATTATATAATTTGTGATCACTAGTTGTAAAGACACTTAAAGTAATTATATGGTGGTTGTTTCTTCATAGTTAGGTTTCAAAGTTTTACTAGGATGAAATGGCTGTGTTTCAATTTGTCCTACTGTGCGATATTCATTTCTGTATTTTATGACTTACTAAGAGCTAAAAGAAAAATAATTTATTAGTTTAAAGCTTAAAGCAAAACAACAAAACCCAACTATTGTTTCTCCACCTTGAAATGTGAAGCAGATAAAGTGCAACGTGATTTAATTCAAAGTGTGAACTGAAATATGTGCCATCGATGTCTGACAGAAGGGAGAGAAAGAAGCAGCAGTGTATAAAAATTGAGCTTCTGTTAATTCAGAATCATTATGTTAACTTAAAATATTTTGTATTTCTAGAACAATATGTACCATATTTAATTATTCAGAAATGTTTCTAGAATATTTTTGAAAATTTTTTTTGTACTTTGCACCATTGTTAACTCTCATTTAATTATCATGGTCGATTGCAAAATGAGTATGGCAAATTCTATAAAACTATTGATCTGCCCTAGAACCTGTATTTCAAGTGAAGTCTTTGTCAGAGGATATGACTACAAACTATTTGATGAATCTGTATAGATAACTTGTTACTTTGCATAGATTATTTAACTCCTCATTCTTGTGGGTAGAGTAGGCCACTATGTGGTAGTTGGACAGAATACAAGTAGTTCTTACTCTCTCTGAGTGCATCTCTATTTAGTTTTTCATGTGCATGATAAAATATAAAGAAACTTAAAAGTCCTCTTAAGGCTACATAAACAGAAAAGATTTCAAAATGGTGAAGGACCTTAAAAGTATTCATATATATTCAGTTATTTCTTGAATCCCGTCATGTCCCTTTAATTTCCTCTTGATCACTTAGGGCCTCCTGAGGTGGTTGAAGATGTTCATTATCAACCCTTATTTGAATTGATGGCGAGATGGAACTTTTTTCTTATCCATCAATACCTTCAAGGTTCCTTAGATTAGTTTTCAGTTTCCTAAGTCAGTCTTAGAGATGGTAGCTATTTGATTTGAATATTTGTATAATTCCATACCTGACATATCATCATCACTTTCTTAGAAAATAAGAAAATATTTAAATAGTAACTTTTGAATTCTTTACCATTGAGCCTATCATATATATATAAATTATTCTCCTTCCATCAGACTTACACTAAAGCAGTATTTGTGTTCCCAATAAGCTAATGTATTACAGGTACTATATATTTCTAACTAACTAGTTACTTGAATTTGTCTTTAAATAGTGTCGGTCTGAACAAATTCACCTGATATATCTGTTGTGGGGATTAATAGTTTAAAATATTTTTTAATTAGCTTATAGCATAAAAACAGTTCCGAGTTTAAATGTGCCAATTAAAATGTTTTTCATTGACATAATTTTTGAAATACTATAGTTTGTAATGGTATTTTCTTTTATCTTTTAGGCGAGGGTTAAATCCACCACACAGGGTGAAATCCATCTCCATGACAACATTCACACAACAGGAAATTGAATTCCTTCAAAAACATGGAAATGAAGTAAGTGTTTCAGTCCTTTTAAAAAATTTAAGTTGTTCAGAATGATAAGAAATTTTCACTGTCTAAAAAAGGTATTTTTGTATTCTGTATTCAGGTGTTTCAGAATGTACTCATCTAGCAGTGTATTTAGATTTAATGTCTACTACATAAATACTTTACCTTAAACCTGAGATGAAACCTGTATTTGAGCTTTGTCAGTATTGAATGTAAAAGGCGTTTTTAGAGGATATCTAGTATTGGAGTAACTTAGTTTTGGCTTTAAATGACAAAAAGAGGAAGAAAGAGAATTAACATTGTGGTACTGCAGTAAACTTTTGTTAGGCTGTTGTATGATCGGCTTTCACTTGAGGGTCCCCTCCTTCCTTTTTACATTTTTAACTTTAGATGTATATGTGATGCTTAATGTTGAGCTGCTTCCCTGGTAGCTCAGCTGGTAAAGAATCTGCCTGCAATGCAGGAGACTCCAGTTCAATTCGTGGGTTGGGAAGATACCCTGGAGGGGGGCATGGCAACCTACTCCAGTATTCTTACCTGGAGAATCCCCGTGGACAGAGGAGCCTGGCGTGCTACAGTCCATGGGGTCACAAAGAGTTGGACATGACTGAGCGAATAAACACACAGCACAGCAGTGTTAAGTAGGTGCTCATTAGGGAGGAGATGAGTAGTTCTGAGTGGGCAGCCTAGCAGCATGAGGGATCCAACAGAGTCAAGTCAAGATTTGTAGGGGAGCCTTTTCTTTCTACTCTCCTTTAGTGGGCTTCTAGGAATTCCGTTCTCTTTGCTTGCTTTCTTGTTTTAGTTCATGTTTTGCTATTATTAAGAGTGGTGGTCTGCTATTTAAAACAAATACAAAAAACTGTAAAATTAGCAGAAAGCCAGCATGTTTTATAATCTTGGGGCATGGATGAACCAGTCAACCCAATTGATTAGTAATTGCCATTATTTAATAAGAGTTTAATCACTTCCTGGAAAGGAAGTATTACTTTAGTTGTACTACAGTGGTTGTATGTTTTGTTTTTTGCATGTTTTTGATAATAGAAAAGAAGTCTTCAAATTTTATTAGTTCCAGTCTTCTTTTTCACCTCAGAAGATGTATGCAAGCATTTTGTACGTGGCTTCTTTTTTTCTCTAACACTTGTATAGTAATGTCTTAAACGTGCTTTCCAACTTTTGATACATGTGTGTATTTGGTTCTAAAGTAGTAAAGATTATGAAATATTTTTTAATACATGATTTAGAGAAGTAACACACATTTTTAAGTTTCCAAATTTTGCCAATAAAAAATTATCTTGAGTAATCAAGTTCTATATTACAGGAAAATCTGAAGCAAGATGAAAAGGCAGAGGTGTGTAATGACAGTAAGTGTAGAAATGTATTTTGATTAAAAGACAATTTGAACAGTTTGTATAAAGTTTGAGATTAGCCTACCAGTGCAAATTTTAAATTATTTTCTTAGAAATTGGCCTTGGGGAAAAAAAAGAATTTGGCCTTGAATACAAAATTTTAGACATCAGAATGGAGTCAGGAATGAAAGAATATCATCTGTTCTTATGCTAAAAATCTAATAACAGGTACAATTATAGTAGTAGAACTGTAAAGGTAACAAACAATCCATTGGAGAAGTAAGTAAAAAACATTCAAACCTGTCAATAGATAAGATTTGGTGGAAATTGGTCCTAAAATACTACAACTGAAGGACCCTTTAAAAATTTTTTTTTCCTGAAATTGTGGTGAGTACACTTAATGTGAGATTTACTCTCTTAAAATATTTTCAAGTGTAAAATGTGGTATTGTTAGCTATAGGCAAAGTGTTAGGAACGTACTCATCTTGCATAACTAAACTTCATTGCCAATGAATAGCAGCCACCATTCTACTTTCTGCTTTGGTGGGTTTGACTGTTTTAGGTGTCTCATCTTAAAGGGAGTCATACAGTATTTGCTGTTCTGTGACTGGCTTATTTCACTTGGTGTAATGTTCACGAGGTTCATGTTGCGTATAATAGGATTCCTGAAGGGATAGTTTTTATAACTGTAATATCAAGATAAATTTAGAAAATATGAAAGGAAATCTTAGGTAACTCTTTATATCAAATAGTGGAAACAGAATACAAGCAATAGAGATGACTGGAATGGCTTTATGAACTTTTAAGTTCTAAAAAGAGTCAAGCAAATTAATAGTCCATTTAAAGCCCTCACTGTTGCAGTCGTTGTGCTAGTACTTGGATACAGTAGACTTAGAGTTCATGGTCTAGGTAGGAGATGGATACAGGACAGACAATTGTGACCCTGTGTTAGGTAGTTAATGATGATAATAAGAATGCTCAGAAGTAATGTGGAAAGGAGAGAATTGGGAAGATTTCATAGACGAGGCAAAGTATTTGCCGACTTTTGACGGTGACTAGGACTTAGGCTAGCAGGAAAAGATTCTACAGGCAGAGTAAACAGTGCACAAAGAGAAATTTCCAACAGTTCTTACTGCTAGAAAGTTTACCAGCTACTTAATTACTTGTTAAGGGAGACAAACATACTTTCTTATGTCCCTAAAGACATATATTGGAGTAGGTATACTTAATTCCTTGTACTATTAGCAGAATTTCCATTCTTAAAAGTTTTATGAGGTGTGTAGAAGGTGAGGATTGATATTATGAAATGCAGGATGATTGATGCAACTTGGTAAAAAATTATATAGACTTCAAGTGCAAGTGCCTAATTATCAGTTTATCTTTTACACTTAAATCTTAAGTATAACATGCATAGGGAAAAGTATGCAGATGTTTATTTTTTATTTCAAATTATGTTGCTATATTTGAACAGTGTGTTAAGTCTCCATTGTCTGGAAAGGAACATACTCAGTCATGTAAATGTTGGGTTAAAAGAAGGTATTGTCATATGTCTAGTGAATGAGTGGGTTCATGTCTGAAGTTAAAAGATCAAAATGTATGTTAACTGGCAGAAGTCTTGGATCTTCTACCCGAACAAGAGAGTTTTAATGTTCTGAGGGGCTTGTTGGTTGTCACTATTTGCAGCAGGCAAGCACCATGGTTGCTGGATGACTCATAAGGTGTTGATTCCTAAATCATCCTGTATTCCATATGCTTTGACTTTTCCCCCAGACATTTGTATGTGGCAGAAACCTTTTTACAGTCAATCTGCATGTAAATCTGTTTTACATGCTTTCATTATCGTTGTGAACAACTTATTGTCAGAGAAAGGCATTCTGCCAAGTCTAAAATCAAGTGTGGGAGGGGACCACAAGTTACAGGGCAGAGGGCTTGGACAGAGGAAGCCATTCATTGACACCATCAGTGCAGTGACTTAATGCATTTGTATATCTGGGAAAGATTTCACTTTTCATTCAGAACTTAAGAATTGTCCACTGTTTTTGGCACATCACATAATGCTTTCTTTTGTATCATATGTTATTTTAAAAAAATCTTTAGTGGTTTACTCCATATGTCCTCTTATGGTGTTGTGGGTCAATCAGAGGAATTTCACTATTGGGTTAACTTCTGATTATCAAACTTAATGGAAAGAAGACTGGGTACCGGTGCTATATAGCTAACTCAGTAAAAGGAAAATGTAGGAATAATTTTATTTTGAGCCATACAGTTTTTTTTTTATAGTAATAAATTAACCTTCCTAATTACGTTTCAGGACTGAGTAAAAGGGTTACTGCCGATGCTTCGCAGGCATGCACTCTACATGTAGAAATAAAATCATGAGTTGATTGACAGTATTTGGTCATCTTTATGCTAGATTCAAAACATAACCCCCAAACCAGAAACTAAAGCTTTTAAAAAAAATCCTTCCAAAGTGGTAGACCCATAAGGTAAGTTGTGCTTTTCCCTAGTCAATACACATGATCGACTCATTCTTCATTCCTGAAGCAGAGATTTATTAATCACCTATTGTTGATTGTCTTTGGGTACTGGGGTACTCCCTGTGATTCCTGCCTTTATGTAAAGTTTTCAGTCTAGTAGGGGACAGAGTGACAATAAAAATCTTTTTTTGTCTCCAGTTCTATTTTTGGGTAAGAGTGAGAAAGGGCTTCAATTTAGAATTGTAGATGCTTGGGATTATGGAGACAGTATTTTTTTTTTAAGACGTTATACTTTGGCTTAAATAGGCCTTATTTTATGAGACAGCACTTCAGACCTTTTGGGTAGTTGAATTGCATCTTTGGGAAAGATTGGAGCTATTTTATAGTCAGAAATAAGCACTGCCACAAAGAAAAGTATTCTGATATCTTAACATTAAATTTCAAATTCACATGCTGTGACAATTTTTCTGGAATATTCAGGTATCATTTATGGTATTAGACTCAATCTGTTATGATGTTAAACAGGACACTAGTGGTTATTTCCTAAATCATCTTGTCTTATAACCTGTAATAAGTCATGGTCACTCTCAGTACAGAATAGTGGACTCTGTAAAGTGGAAGGCCAATATCTGAAAGAGCCTGCAGGCCATTGTCAGAGTAAAGACAGTGAACTTTTGAATGAATCCTGAGTCAGGGCAGGGAACTATTATGTAGCTTCAAAGTGTTACATTCCTTTAAGTTTGATTAAAAACCAGACGATCTATCCCAAACTGCAGCTCTGTACAGAAATTGATAAAATTTGGACTAAACTTGTTAAATGTTACTTGAAGTTCAGTGGTCTTGTGCAGAAAAGATTGGATTTGAACTTGGAGGGTTGAGAACATTGGTCAGATTACCTCTGAGCCTCAGTTTCTACAAGTGTAAAATAGTGACAGTATCTTACTGTAGAAAGGGTGGATTGGAATGCTTTGAGCTCAAGCAACCATGATAGTTCCCAGCATACTTCTTGTAGAATGATATTCAGATGTTTATTGAATCAGAACCTGAGGTAGTAGAAGTTACACAAGGGTTAACAATATTTTTTTTTTTCATGTCTTGCTCACAGTGGTTTTTTTGGGAGGGATTTTCAGTTTTCTTAGAATCTGGTAGTATATCAGTTACATTAATATTTAAGTTGAGT